TTGAAATTTTGAAAATAATTATTATTAATTAATAACTTTAATTGAATGAATTAGATATTATGATATGAATTATAAATAATGATAATGTATTATGTATTAATTATCAATTATTAATTAAATTTAAACAATTAATCTTAACACTTTCTAAATAATTTAGAAACCAAAGTAGGAACATTACTCCATCTTGGTGATCTTGTCTTGTTTAGTGAGCATGCAATTTATCTGTGCTATTTATCAAATTCATGTTCACAATTAATAATTTAATATCATATGCACCAAACTCTAAGCTTAAAAAAAATTAGTCTTAAATGCAGTATCGAGGCACATGGAAATATAGGCTAGAGTATGTTTATCACATTGAATATGTCTGCATAATTAACAATTATAATTATATATCGTCCTACATTAATATATAAATATAGCGATCTGCCTTGACTATCAAAAATAGAAAACTAGGTTAATTGATCAGTTGGTTAGTTTTCATAATCGTTTTTTCGATTATTATGGGCGGCGGATCGAATCCAAATCACACCAATTTCAAGTTAGGAGAATCCTCAGATCTCTAAAATGGAAATCTTTAATTTAATCAAACAAATGCCACTCCAGCCATAAGAGCAAGTGAAACCAGTTTTCACCAGTCTCATTTTGCTGGGGAAAAAAAGAAGCATGACAGGTTAATAAAACAATTTTTAAGGGTCTAACGATTTGGATTTTGATGCAGACTTTTGAAGAAAAATCACAAATATGATTAAGAAAGCAATGTCTTCATAACTTCTTAGACACCAACATTTCAATTAAACTATATCTAGTCACCTCTGTAATGTATGCTTGAGAGGGATCATAAGGACAACTATTGACAAGAAAGGTAGAAAGCATAATGTTTCATCTTAATATTGATATTGATTCATCTTTTTATACACAATCTAAATTAACATCAAACATGCGTATGCATGTCCAAGAACTTCTCCTGTAACATTTAAGAAATAGTTAAACGTGTCCCAAAATTTAAAGAGTCGAATCTAATATTGAAGAGTCGACTCTGTGTCCCAGAATTTAAATATATGCTAGACAGTTTCACACTTTCCACATTTCCCTTTCTCTCCTATTCGCCCAAAACAGAACCCTAACCCAAATTTCCCACAAATTTCATCAAATCAACTCAGCCAAACACTAACCCACATCATTTTTGGCTCATTCCTCTAAAAATCCTTTGTTGTTTTCCAAAATGGTGAAGACAAAAAGCGCGGCAAAGAAGCAGAAGGGGCCTGCAGCCACAACCTCATCTAGGCGTCGAAGGAGTGAAGAAACTCGTGGGGATAGCAGTGAAAGCACAGACAATGAGCAGGTGTTTCAACTCGATAACCCTCGCAACTTTGTTTCTAGAAATGCTAGGGAAGCATATTAGAAACTAGCAACTAGACATGTGATTTATGGGTTTAGAGTGGCGTTGGAGGATATATGTAGAGGTGGGTTACATGTTAAGGAAATGCTAGATGCAATGGGATGGACAAAATTAGTAACTAGGAAAGTTAAGGTTTACCCATAATTGATAAAGATTTTTTATGCAAATTGGAGTGATATGGATGAGGATGGAGTGTTAAGAACCATTATTCTTAAGAAAATATCAAATTTGATGCTGAAACCATTAATTATGTTCTACATTTGCCAAATGAGGGAGCCAGGGAATTAGATGCCTTTACAGAGGGTGCTACAAAGAAAGTTATAATGGGGGATGATTGGGATGAGGCACGAACATTAACCATTCACAACTTGAATTTGGAGTATAGGTTAATGTTTTGGATATACAATCACATTGCCAAGGAAAGGGTCATTTGGAAAATTTAGTGCTTCGGATTATGTGTTGTTTGCATATATTGTTGGGCATAGATGGATCAATTTAAGACACCATATGATGAGGCATATGGTGTATTTTAGGAGAAGAACAATATTGGCTTTGGTGTATGGAACGCTCATCACATTACTAATGCAAAATGTGGGGGTTGATTTGCCTGGGATGGAGTCCTGAGACCTTTACAGTCATGAGCTTCTCAATGACACTTCGCTAAACAAAATGGGCTATGTATACAGTGTAAGAACAAACTCTTGGGAAATGAAGCAGAAAAGGAGGAGAGGAAGACAAGATGAGGAAGGTGAGGGGTTTGAAGAAGAAGAATATGCATAAGACATTGAAAAAGGAGGTCGCTCACAACCTGCTTCATATAAGGTTCCTCAAAATATAAGCACAAAGAGAGGAATCCAACTCATTCTCGAAAGGCTTGCAAACATGGAGAGGAAGCTCGATGAGCACATTCAAGAATGTCGGATGGCAGCACCTTCTCGTCCTCAAGCGGCAATGGGAGATCTATCTACTACTGGCCCATCATCATCACAACAATCTACCGATCCCATTTCACATCCAAAAGCATAAAAACTCATGTTCCAATTGTTGATGCCCTTTGAATTTACATTTTACTATTTGAACTCTGTGTTTAGAAGGTTTTTTTTTTTTTTAATGTTTTCAGGGTGAATTTTTTCTTTGTATATGTAAATATAATGTTGACGGTAAATGACATTAATTTTAATGCATTTGTATAAAGGTCTCTGAAGTGATTGTGATGATTATGTCTTCATTGATTATGTGGTTGAAGTGCTTATATAGAGGGGTAGAAATTCATTAGTTCATAGTGTGTGTGATGGGTAATTTGGTTTGTGGTTGAAAAGGTTGATGTGCATGTGTTATGGGGAGCTTTGGTTGACCCATGATTGTGTCCTTTTTTATCCAATTTTGAAATGGGGAGAAAAGTTGATGGATTTCAATGATTTACTCTCATGTACAGATGAATAAGTGGTGAAGTTTTGGGGGATGGCTTTAGTTGATGTTGTTGTAAAAAAAGGGAAAGATCACAAAAAAATCGGTAAAACCACAGAAATGGGTGAAGAGTTATAAATTCGACTCTTCTGTGATATGAGAGTCGAATGTGAGATGTCAAGAGTCTACTTCAAAATTCCAATAAGCAGGGAATTCATTTCGTTAAGCTCATAGTCGACTTTCCATATTTAGAGTCGACCCTACTTGCTTTAGAGTGAACTCTATTATATGAAGAGTCGACTACCAAAGTCCATGAGGTATCATTCTTTTCAGCTTATAGTTGACTCTCCATATGTAGATTTGACTCTATTTGCTTTAGAGTCGACTCTCAAATTCCAGTAAGATGAGGTATCATTCTTTTCAGCTTATAGTTGACTCTCCATATGTAGATTTGACTCTATTTGCTTTAGAGTGGACTCTATTACGTGAAGAGTCGCCTACAAAATTTCAACACGTAGGGAGTTCATTCAGTTCAGCTCATAGTCGACTCTACATGTGTATATTCGACTTTAGTTACTTTAGAGTCGACTCTAAATTATAAGAGTTGACTCTGAACCCATTAGAATCAACTCTAATATGTAACATTGGACTATTGGACTATGGGGATTCTCAAAGTAAAAGCATTTCATGCAAAATCTCAACAATAGACCTAAGAACAACGTGGAAATCATTAATAATTGTTGTAATGTCGAAATATACTGAATAATCATAAGAAAACATGAAAAATTAGAAAATATATTGAACAACTGAAGTAAGGTAATGATATTACGGTTCTTAAATAGATCATAATTTTTGAACAGCAGCATCCCAATACTTTTTCTCAAATGTAAGACGCCTACCATTACCAAAAATTTTTGTAATTGTTTTTGAGGACTCTGTAGGAGTTTTGGATGGATTTGACACAAATGGTGATCGGTAACGATTCGAGCAAATTTTTGTAATATGACCCTCACGGTTACACAATTGACATGTTACAGCACATCGATGTGGGCAAATTGTAGCTAAATGTCCAGGAGTATCACATATTTGACAAACAGAGTAATCTAAAATATTAGGCAATGGGATGTGTTGGTCAGTTGATATATTATTCCTTGCTTTTTTCAACTTCCTCTTGGGACGGCTTTGAAAAAGGCAATTCCAAATTTATTCAAGAGTATCATCAACAATTCCTGTGTAAAATAACATAAAGTTAAGTAATATGATAGTAAATGAGTTGCACAAATGTGAAATGAGACATAGGGGAAAGAAACAAAAAAAAAAAATAAATAAATAAAAGAAGTTATACCATTATATTGGCTGTCACAATATTCTTAACTTTCCAATTGATTGTAAAAATATTCTTGGCTTTCTAATTGGCTATCAAAATATTGTTGACTCTCCATTAAGCAACAGAAAAAAGAGTTTTGAAATTTATAAAAG